CATGAATGCAAGCAATGATTGGTTTTAAACGAACCTTCCAACCAGTCAGTTCGACTCACAACTGCAAAAAGTCAGAAGTGAGCGGTTGTGACCGAAACTTCTTGCATGAATACAAGCAATGACCGGTTGTGAACGAACGCTCGCCAACCAGTCAGTTATATTAATTTGCTTTTTTTAAAGATATTTGAGTTCATTTTTTTAAGAAATAAAATCATGCTAAATGTCATAATATAATAATAAATATATGTATACATATATATGTTTTCTTTTCATTCTGTACCTATTTATTTAAAATACCTACATACATATACACATGTTTGCTCATAATTGCAAACAACACATGCACGCACAAATACATAAATATGTACATATGTACATATGTATGTACATGCATTTTGTATACGGTCATACTCGGGTAAAACCTGCACAATACTCGAGTAATACCCGAGTACAGCTCGCGCAATACCCAAACAATACTCGAGCAATAACGACACTATACTCGTTCGATTAAACTAAGGCGGCCAACCGTCCCGCATTATGCGGGACAGTCCTGCATTGACAGGTGTTGTCCCGCATTGAAAAATCGAATAAAATAGTCCCGAAAAACCTGAAACGCGTCCCGCATGTCCCGCATTACCAACATGACATTTAAAATACATTATATAATAGAGTACGAGATAGAAAACCATTGTTTTTATCTACTGCATCTCCTCCTGCTCTCCTGTTCGACAAAACAGCGGTAAATTGAGGTGCTTAATAATCTAAGAGAAAAAGGAATACCAATGCAAAATTGCCTATCTATCATCCAGTATCTTCTCTGTTTTTATTTTCATTGATAATTGCTTTGTGGACGAACGTCACTAAAAGTGGACACATTTCTTTTAAAATATAATATTGGCAGTTGCGGACAATTTAATGACATTATAAATAACAAGAGAGAACGCTGAGCAAGCCCGACACTGAAATACCCTGTACCAAGACTAACTTCCGGCAATGAGCTTATGCGTCCCGATGTAGTACTGGAGTAAAATTGTTTCGGTAACTTAGAATTGACCGATTTTCATAAAATTTAAAAAAAATATATATTTATGTATATATAAATTATCTTTGCAAATATGGTTTATGTTCTTATTTGGTTAATGTGCGCTCAACCGTTTCCAGACGGACGGACATACTTTGATCGATTTCTCTCGTCGTGCTGATTAATATGGGGTTGGAGATACTTCCTTTGCGCAAACCTAATATATACATTTTACCTTACGGGTACAGGGTAAAAAAATCCAGTACTGGTCAAAAAGTTTCACTCGTGTGAAAAATATGATTTTAAAAATAAATAAACAAACAAATTGAAAGATTGAATAATTATTTTAAGTGTTTAATATTTACATATGTACATATGTAACTGTACATATGACACATCGAAAATAACACCACCTTAAATTGTCCCGCATTGGCTTTTGAAAAAGTTGGCCGCCTTAGATTAAACGCTCATTCTGCAAAGTCTGGTTTGCTTCGATAAGGACCCAGTCATCTTAAACGAAGTGACCGAGCCTGAACTGTTTGAAAGCAAACCAATCAAGTCCGGTGCTTGTTCGTAAAAATAGAAAAAATAAGAAAAAGGCTAATAGTACTCAACTCGTTCGAGCTCGTTTGCAGCCAAACAAAGATCTGATTTGATTGAATTTGCAGCTAGGGTGGTCGAACATACTCGTTGCAGTTGTCTAAAACATATGTATATGATTTGTTCTAATTAATCTCAATAAATTATAAGATGTGATTATTTAGATATTCTGTTTATTGCAGTCAAACTTCGATGTATCGATATCGTTAGTATCGGTGGATTCAGCTATCGAAATGTTCATTTAAATACCTTAAATGCCTTCCTACTGGTAATTAATAAGGTGAAAATATATGGGTCGGTAATGCACACACAAAATACATACATACATAAATACAATTTGAAACGTTATATTGAGCCGGGTTAAGACGGCAGTACCTGCTAGTATGTACATACATATGTGCATGCATGGGTTTTGTTTTGTTTCTAATAATTTATTTTTTGTATATAGAGTACAGAAAAATTGAATTTTATTTTCAATATTATTTTATTATTAATGCCAAATGTACTGAACAATAAAAAAACTACTTTTGAAAATGTTAAATTTTTTTGTTTTTAATTAATTACCATTTCTTGCCCTGTCAGTGCATGACAATCAAAAAGCCTATTCATTTAATTTTAGAGTTGTTTACAATCAACAACGATGATATAGAAAAAATTTTATTACAGTATAATAACATACACCTAATAAAAAAATGTTGACAGAACCAGTTTTGGTCGGATGTAAAATCATATATACAAGTACTTGTAGTCCATATAGCAGGCAATTATCAATTTTTAGAATTGGCATCCTTTGCCCTTACTTTGTTGTCATTACCTTGCTCAAAAGCGGAAGTTAAGCATGTGTTCAGCCAAATGTGGACGTTGAATGCAATCTTGTGCATCAGGTAACATTGAGATATTATTACATTTAAGTAGATATGTATTTAATTAATTTTAACCATTTACTAGATTCGGGTTACGTCGGTATGGTGCATGCTACATAACGTATAAACTTCCAGAAAAATATCTTAAAATTGTAGGCACAAATGCGTCATACAACAATGACGCAGACGTCAATGATGCTAAAATTGACGAATTCATAATAAAAATAATTTTTTGTAACGACGCATTGACATTCCAAACAATAAAAGGCAAATTTAATATGAAAACACTAGCAGTCCTGTTTTCTGTCCTTTTTAAATTTTTCTATCCCTTTTTCCGTTTTTTTTATTTGTTTGTAGTTATTTTGTGGCGTGTGTGTGTGTGTGTGTGTGTATGTATACTAAGTTGTCCCCAACTGTTTGATATGCATTTTATGTTGTTATAGCCTGTACCCAAAGGGTGAAAGGCTATAATAGTTTTGTGCGCATGTATGTAACACACAGAAGGAGGCGTGGAAGACCCCACAAAGTATATATATTCTTGATCAGGATGAGAAGACGAGTCGATATAGCCATGTCCGTCTGTCCGTCTGACCGTCTGTCCGTCTGTCTGTATGAGCGCAAGGATCTCAGTAAGTACAAGAGCTAGGATAACCAAAATTGGTATCAAGGTTCCTATAAGCCCTAGGCAGAACGAGTTTGTTTATTTTTTCTGATACACCCCCCCACTCCCCCGCAATTCGTATTTTTTCTTATAACTTCCGTAATTTTCGGAATTTTAAAATCAATTTTGGTAGGTACATCCAGTTAGTACTAATGTGTACGTGTGCCAAATTTCATCATGATAGGTCAATTCTGAAGAAAGTTATAGCCATAAAATCGCTGCTCATGCGCTGCCTGCAGCTCTGTCGGCAGCGCTGCCCGCAGCTGTTGTTGTTGTTGCTGCTTTTGTTCAACTTTGTGCTGCATACATACACGCATATAAACACGCATAGGTACGTGATGTAAATGTATGCTGTTTAAACTGAACATAAACATGTATTCTAATTTAATTTAATTAATTATTTTAATTAATTAATTCATTCATTTTTTTAATAATTTAATTTTTTTTAAATTTTTTTTTTTTTAATTTTTCCTTTTTGTGGAGAGTACAGGCTATTTTACTGTCGGGCTTGCTCGACTGTAGCGTTCTTTCTTGTTTGTTCTGCCTGCATTTGTAAATCGAAACCCACATTGGGTATGGTGAGCTTTGGCATTCCCTCCAAGGATGATGCCTAGCATTTTCCGTCTGCTGTCTTCCACCAAGGATTTCAGCGGCGGTGGCGGTGGAGTATCTTAATGATCGTGGGGGAGATAGAATGATGTCATTCCTAACTCGATGTCTCCCACTCTGTCTTTGGCGTTGGTGTTTATACTGACTGTTGTTATGTCAGCATCGCTATATTGGCAGAGTAAAATAGCATTAAGTTGTCTTTTTGCCAAGATACATGATCGCGGTTTTCACTTGCATCGACAACTGCCAACCATTCTCCCGGTTACGTTTCTCCTACCTTGTCGATCGATATCTTGTATAGAGAAACTGTTCGCTCGTATTCGCATGCAATCAGATTCACGTTACGCTGAAACCACCCTGCATCAGTGCAACTGGAAGGAGGCCCGGGACTTTCTAGGAGCACTTCCAAATGAACCGTGGTGAGCGCGGCTTGCACCCACTGGTGTTTAGGTATTCTGCCATCGTCATTGTTTTTTTTTTTGGTCTATGACCCCAATGGCCTTTCGTCCTTCGACCACCCATGCGTCTTTTGCTTTTATGACCCTGAGTTTGGGTCTTCCTCCATCGAACGCTGTCGTTGAACGGTTGGTTCACTTCGTAATTGAGCGCAAAATTGGGCTTCACCCGCCTTGCCCACTAGCATTGCTAGCATTTCCTCCAATGCCTGTGCTGCCTCAATTGACTCAGAATTAGTTCAGTTCAATTACTTATCCGTAAAATGTTGCGAATTTTTTTACTTTTTATACTCTGTACATAAAATGTACAAGAGTATATTAGGTTTGCGGGATCTGAAAAATGTAACAGGCAGAAGGAGGCGTGGCAGACCCCACAAAGTATATATATTCTTGATCAGCATGACGAGACGAGTCGATCTAGCCCTGTCTGTCTGTACGTCTGTCAGTCAGTCCGCCTGTCCGTATGTACACCTGGATCTCAGAGACTATAAGAGATAAAGACACCAAATTTTGCACAAAGATGCGTTATGAGTGTACGCAGTGCAAGTTTGTTTTATTTTTTTGATTTTCTCCCCCACTTCACCCCTATGGGGGTTTTCTCGATTTTCCATTCGTATAATCGCCTATATCTCGGTGTAGCCGCCGCAGCACAGCCTAATTTGAAGTCATCGTTAATTTGAATTTTTAATACATCACCTATCTATCTGGCAACACCAAAACTTACCATACGATCAAAAAGCTGGAGGTACGGCAGTTGCAGCACAGAGGCCGAAGCCACAAGATTTTTTAAAGCTCTCGATATATCTATTTTCGCGGTCGCGAATAATTTGTATTAATATCCAAAACTATTGAATAAATAATTACGAATAGAAATGAGTGCTATTAGAAGCTTTTAACTTCCTTGACTTATGCCGGCTGCAACATTTATTTAACAAATCTTTATGGCTTTTGCGCGTCGATGAACAGTTAAGTTCCGCGCATTAGTTAAATGTGTAAAGTGAAATTGTGAAATACAAGGCTTGTGTTTAATATTCTGGTAAGGGCGTCGTTAGAACATTAAGTTCCACGCTTGCAAAACTTAAATATAGCACAATATTTCCACAATATCAGTTTGTGCTTCCAGAAGACTAAGACGCCACGGAGCGTCTCTGCAGCTAACTGTAATCTTCTGTATGTAGCACGCTGTATGCGGCACAAACAAACACATACAATCAAAATTATACCCGTGCATATAGCGTGTGGTGAAATTACAACAGTGTGGTGCGTATAACGCACATCTAAAGTACAGTCACTAAGCGTGAGTGCAGCGTTGAGATTAGAGTGCTCTGTGTTCTCTGCACGTCTCGAGGAATCTGTCCAATCAAGGCTGTGAGTAGGGGCATAGCTCGCATTAGCAAATAAAATTCCCCCATCGGAACAGAAAACTCGGGTGCCAGAACGCAGATCTTTAATTACCTGCCTCCGCTTAGATATCACCAACCATGATCGGGCACGAGCACAACAACACAAAGTGCGGCTATTGCAAAAAAGAACGTACTAGCACCGGCATATCAAGCTGGGTGCAATGCGATATATGCAAAGCATGGTACCACTTTTCGAGCGCTCGTGTTAATGAGGAAAAAAACGAAACGGGGTGGGCATGCCTCCACTGTGAGCTCAACGACATTCCATGTTCCCGCGATGAAACTGAAAAAACCTTCACAGTTTCTAAAAAGAAATACGAGTCATGGGTAATAGTGGAGCTCCTAATTGACCTGGTAGTATCGGAAGCGGATAACGCAACTACACAGGTTTCTACCGTTGTGAGGCCATCAAAAGGTTTGGCAGTAACACACAACGAAGTCCAGTACTCATCTGGCACAGCCACACTTAAGCAAAATACTACAGCTGATGCTCAACTAGAGAAAATGGGTTTGAATGAGGAAAGATCAACAACCGTAAATAATAATATGAATACGGGCGTATCTAATAACATTCTATTATTACAGATGCTAGAAGAGAATCGAAATGCTGAACAAAAATACGATATACTTTCACAACAGAGTGGAGCGAGTTCGGATCTAATGTCCACATATGTGGGTCCTACTAGCGCACAGTTGGCGGCGCGCCAAGTATTACCAGCGGATTTGCCAACCTTCAGCGGCAATCCGGACGAATGGCCCACCTTTATCAGTGCGTTCGAGAACAGCAGCGCTGCTGGTGAGAGAAAAACTTCTTTTACCGTCAATGGTGCCTGAGAATACAGGCACATTAAAAACATTCTTCGGACGCCCGGAACAAATTATTGAACGCATCATTGAAAAGGCAAAAAATATATACATACACAAAGACAAGTTGGACTCACTTATCGACTATGCAATATTATTTTATGGAATTGGCTCTAGTTATGTTGAGTATGTACATACTACAAATTTGGAGACCGTCGAAAAAAAAAAATATTACAACATATCGTATGTATGAAAAAAACAACGAAAACTAAAGTTATTAATGAAAACCCTAATGCCAATCAAAAAGCCTATTATTTTAATTTTAGAGTTGTTTACAATCAACAACGATGATATAGAAAAAATCTTATTACAGTATAATAACATACACCTAATAAAAAAATGTTGACAGAACCAGTTTTGGTCGGATGTAAAATCATATATACAAGTACTTGTAGTCCATATAGCAGGCAATTATCAATTTTTAGAATTGGCATCCTTTGCCCTTACTTTGTTGTCATTACCTTGCTCAAAAGCGGAAGTTAAGCATGTGTTCAGCCAAATGTGGACGTTGAATGCAATATTGTGCATCAGGTAACATTGAGATATTATTACATTTAAGTAGATATGTATTTAATTAATTTTAACCATTTACTAGATTCGGGTTACGTCGGTATGGTGCATGCTACATAACGTATAAACTTCCAGAAAAATATCTTAAAATTGTAGGCACAAATGCGTCATACAACAATGACGCAGACGTCAATGATGCTAAAATTGACGAATTCATAATAAAAATAATTTTTTGTAACGACGCATTGACATTCCAAACAATAAAAGGCAAATTTAATATGAAAACACTAGCAGTCCTGTTTTCTGTCCTTTTTTGTGGTGTGTGTGTGTGTGTGTGTATGTATACTAAGTTGTCCCCAACTGTTTGATATGCATTTTATGTTGTTTGTTCTGCCTGCATTTGTAAATCGAAACCCACATTGGGTATGGTGAGCTTTGGCATTCCCTCCAAGGATGATGCCTAGCATTTTCCGCCTGCTGTCTTCCACCAAGAATTTCAGCGGCGGTGGCGGTGGAGTATCTTGATGATCGTGGGCGAGATAGAATGATGTCATCCCTAACTCGATGTGTCCCACTCTGTCTTTGGCGTTGGTGTTTATACTGACTGTTGTTATGTCAGCATCGCTATATTGGCAGAGTAAAATAGCATTAAGTTGTCTTTTTGCCAAGATACATGATCGCGGTTTTCACTTGCATCGACAACTGCCAACCATTCTCCCGGTTACGCTTCTCCTACCTTGTCGATCGATATCTTGTATAGAGAAACTGTTCGCTCGTATTCGCATGCAATCAGATTTACGTTACGCTGAAACCACCCTGCATCAGTGCAACTGGAAGGAGGCCCGGGACTTTCTAGGAGCATTTCCAAATGAACCGTGGTGAGCGCGGCTTGCACCCACTGGTGTTTAGGTATTCTGCCATCGTCATTGTTTTTTTTTGGTCTATGACCCCAATGGCCTTTCGTCCTTCGACCACCCATGCGTCTTTTGCTTTTATGACCCTGAGTTTGGGTCTTCCTCCATCGAACGCTGTCGTTGAACGGTTGGTTCACTTCGTAATTGAGCGCAAAATTGGGCTTCACCCGCCTTGCCCACTAGCATTGCTAGCATTTCCTCCAATGCCTGTGCTGCCTCAATTGACTCAGTGGCATGGCGTCAGAGTATACGAGCCGCCGTACGTTGCTCCCTGTATCCGATCTTTATCGGGCCTGGCCGGGGCTGATTAGCTGACCAATACTCCACTGGTTTCCCCTCGTGTCTCATCTTCGCCGGTCCGTCAGCTGCCGTATGCTTCCTGACTGCCGTGGTGCTGGGAAGAGCCTTAGGGTGCCCAGTGGCTTGGCTTAGTCCTCTTAATAGAGGAGTTAGGATTTGCCTTTGCTCTGCACGCCGATTCCACAGTTTAAAATAAACAAAAATTATATTAATTTTAATAATTTTGACAAAATGGACTTTTTGAGAATACCCTTTATCAAATTTACTAACCAAGGGTACCCCTACCCCTTCCTCGGAATTAGTTCAGTTCAATTACTTATCCGTAAAATGTTGCGAATTTTTTTACTTTTTATACTCTGTACATAAAATGTACAAGAGTATATTAGGTTTGCGGGAGCTGAAAAATGTAACAGGCAGTCTGTCAGTCTGTCCGCCTGTCCGTATGTACACCTGGATCTCAGAGACTATAAGAGATGGAGACACCAAATTTTGCACAAAGATGCGTTATGTGTGTACGCTGTGCAAGTTTGTTTTATTTTTTTGATTTTTTCCCCCACTTCACCCCTATGGGGGTTTTCTCGATTTTCCATTCGTATAATCGCCTATATCTCGGTGTTGCCGCCGCAGCACAGCCTAATTTGAAGTCATCGTTAATTTGAATTTTTAATACATCACCTATCTATCTGGCAACACCAAAACTTACCATACGATCAAAAAGCTGGAGGTACGGCAGTTGCAGCACAGAGGCCGAAGCCACAAGATTTTTTAAAGCTCTCGATATATCTATTTTCGCGGTCGCGAATAATTTGTATTAATATCCAAAACTATTGAATAAATAATTACGAATAGAAATGAGTGCTATTAGAAGCTTTTAACTTCCTTGACTTATGTCGGCTGCAACATTTATTTAACAAATCTTTATGGCTTTTGCGCGTCGATGAACAGTTAAGTTCCGCGCATTAGTTAAATGTGTAAAGTGAAATTGTGAAATACAAGGCTTGTGTTTAATATTCTGGTAAGGGCGTCGTTAGAACATTAAGTTCCACGCTTGCAAAACTTAAATATAGCACAATATTTCCACAATATCAGTTTGTGCTTCCAGAAGACTAAGACGCCACGGAGCGTCTCTGCAGCTAACTGTAATCTTCTCTATGTAGCACGCTGTATGCGGCACAAACAAACACATACAATCAAAATTATACCCGTGCATATAGCGTGTGGTGAAATTACAACAGTGTGGTGCGTATAACGCACATCTAAAGTACAGTCACTAAGCGTGAGTGCAGCGTTGAGATTAGAGTGCTCTGTGTTCTCTGCACGTCTCGAGGAATCTGTCCAATCAAGGCTGTGAGTAGGGGCATAGCTCGCATTAGCAAATAAAATTCCCCCATCGGAACAGAAAACTCGAGTGCCAGAACGCAGATCTTTAATTACCTGCCTCCGCTTAGATATCACCAACCATGATCGGGCACGAGCACAACAACACAAAGTGCGGCTATTGCAAAAAAGAACGTACTAGCACCGGCATATCAAGCTGGGTGCAATGCGATATATGCAAAGCATGGTAAAAAAAGAAACGGGGTGGGCATGCCTCCACTGTGAGCTCAACGACATTCCATGTTCCCGCGATGAAACTGAAAAAACCTTCACAGTTTCTAAAAAGAAATACGAGTCATGGGTAATAGTGGAGCTCCTAATTGACCTGGTAGTATCGGAAGCGGATAACGCAACTACACAGGTTTCTACCGTTGTGAGGCCATCAAAAGGTTTGGCAGTAACACACAACGAAGTCCAGTACTCATCTGGCACAGCCACACTTAAGCAAAATACTACAGCTGATGCTCAACTAGAGAAAATGGGTTTGAATGAGGAAAGATCAACAACCGTAAATAATAATATGAATACGGGCGTATCTAATAACATTCTATTATTACAGATGCTAGAAGAGAATCGAAATGCTGAACAAAAATACGATATACTTTCACAACAGAGTGGAGCGAGTTCGGATCTAATGTCCACATATGTGGGTCCTACTAGCGCACAGTTGGCGGCGCGCCAAGTATTACCAGCGGATTTGCCAACCTTCAGCGGCAATCCGGACGAATGGCCCACCTTTATCAGTGCGTTCGAGAACAGCAGCGCTGCTGGTGAGAGAAAAACTTCTTTTACCGTCAATGGTGCCTGAGAATACAGGCACATTAAAAACATTCTTCGGACGCCCGGAACAAATTATTGAACGCATCATTGAAAAGGCAAAAAATATATACATACACAAAGACAAGTTGGACTCACTTATCGACTATGCAATATAAAATAATTATGGAATTGGCTCTAGTTATGTTGAGTATATACATACTACAAATTTGGAGACCGTCGAAAAAACAAATATTACAACATATCGTATGTATGAAAAAAACAACGAAAACTAAAGTTATTAATGAAAACCCTAATGCCAAATGTACTGAACAATGAAAAAACTACTTTTGAAAATGTTAAAATTTTTTGTTTTTAATTAATTACCATTTCTTGCCCTGTCAGTGCATGACAATCAAAAAGCCTATTATTTTAATTTTAGAGTTGTTTACAATCAACAACGATGATATAGAAAAAATCTTATTACAGTATAATAACATACACCTAATAAAAAAATGTTGACAGAACCAGTTTTGGTCGGATGTAAAATCATATATACAAGTACTTGTAGTCCATATAGCAGGCAATTATCAATTTTTAGAATTGGCATCCTTTGCCCTTACTTTGTTGTCATTACCTTGCTCAAAAACGGAAGTTAAGCATGTGTTCAGCCAAATGTGGACGTTGAATGCAATCTTGTGCATCAGGTAACATTGAGATATTATTACATTTAAGTAGATATGTATTTAATTAATTTTAACCATTTACTAGATTCGGGTTACGTCGGTATGGTGCATGCTACATAACGTATAAACTTCCAGAAAAATATCTTAAAATTGTAGGCACAAATGCGTCATACAACAATGACGCAGACGTCAATGATGCTAAAATTGACGAATTCATAATAAAAATAATTTTTTGTAACGACGCATTGACATTCCAAACAATAAAAGGCAAATTTAATATGAAAACACTAGCAGTCCTGTTTTCTGTCCTTTTTAAATTTTTCTATCCCTTTTTCCGTTTTTTTTATTTGTTTGTAGTTATTTTGTGGTGTATGTGTGTGTGTGTGTATGTATACTAAGTTGTCCCCAACTGTTTGATATGCATTTTATGTTGTTTGTTCTGCCTGCATTTGTAAATCGAAACCCACATTGGGTATGGTGAGCTTTGGCATTCCCTCCAAGGATGATGCCTAGCATTTTCCGTCTGCTGTCTTCCACCAAGGATTTCAGCGGCGGTGGCGGTGGAGTATCTTAATGATCGTGGGGGAGATAGAATGATGTCATTCCTAACTCGATGTCTCCCACTCTGTCTTTGGCGTTGGTGTTTATACTGACTGTTGTTATGTCAGCATCGCTACATTGGCAGAGTAAAATAGCATTAAGTTGTCTTTTTGCCAAGATACATGATCGCGGTGTTCACTTGCATCGACAACTGCCAACCATTCTCCCGGTTACGCTTCTCCTACCTTGTCGATCGATATCTTGTATAGAGAAACTGTTCGCTCGTATTCGCATGCAATCAGATTCACGTTACGCTGAAACCACCCTGCATCAGTGCAACTGGAAGGAGGCCCGGGACTTTCTAGGAGCACTTCCAAATGAACCGTGGTGAGCGCGGCTTGCACCCACTGGTGTTTAGGTATTCTGCCATCGTCATTGTTTTTTTTTGGTCTATGACCCCAATGGCCTTTCGTCCTTCGACCACCCATGCGTCTTTTGCTTTTATGACCCTGAGTTTGGGTCCTCCTCCATCGAACGCTGTCGTTGAACGGTTGGTTCACTTCGTAATTGAGCGCAAAATTGGGCTTCACCCGCCTTGCCCACTAGCATTGCTAGCATTTCCTCCAATGCCTGTGCTGCCTCAATTGACTCAGTGGCATGGCGTCAGAGTATACGAGCCGCCGTACGTTGCTCCCTGTATCCGATCTTTATCGGGCCTGGCCGGGGCTGATTAGCTGACCAATACTCCACTGGTTTCCCCTCGTGTCTCATCTTCGTCGGTCCGTCAGCTGCCGTATGCTTCCTGACTGCCGCGGTGCTGGGAAGAGCCTTAGGGTGCCCAGTGGCTTGGCTTAGTCCTCTTAATAGAGGAGTTAGGATTTGCCTTTGCTCTGCACGCCGATTCCACAGTTTAAAATAAACAAAAATTATATTAATTTTAATAATTTTGACAAAATGGACTTTTTGAGAATACCCTTTATCAAATTTATTAACCAAGGGTACCCCTACCCCTTCCTCGGAATTAGTTCAGTTCAATTACTTATCCGTAAAATGTTGCGAATTTTTTTACTTTTTATACTCTGTACATAAAATGTACAAGAGTATATTAGGTTTGCGGGAGCTGAAAAATGTAACAGGCGGAAGGAGGCGTGGCAGACCCCACAAAGTATATATATTCTTGATCAGCATGACGAGACGAGTCGATCTAGCCCTGTCTGTCTGTACGTCTGTCAGTCTGTCCGTCTGTCTGTATGAGCGCAAGGATCTCAGTAAGTACAAGAGCTAGGATAACCAAAATTGGTATCAAGGTTCCTATAAGCCCTAGGCAGAACGAGTTTGTTTATTTTTTCTGATACACCCCCCCACTCCCCCGCAATTCGTATTTTTTCTTATAACTTCCGTAATTTTCGGAATTTTAAAATCAATTTTGGTAGGTACATCCAGTTAGTACTAATGTGTACGTGTGCCAAATTTCATCATGATAGGTCAATTCTGAAGAAAGTTATAGCCATAAGTAAAATCGCTGCTCATGCGCTGCCTGCAGCTCTGTCGGCAGCGCTGCCCGCAGCTGTTGTTGTTGTTGCTGCTTTTGTTCAACTTTGTGCTGCATACATACACGCATATAAACACGCATAGGTACGTGATGTAAATGTATGCTGTTTAAACTGAACATAAACATGTATTCTAATTTAATTTAATTAATTATTTTAATTAATTAATTCATTCATTTTTTTAATAATTTAATTTTTTTTAAAATTTTTTTTTTTTAATTTTTCCTTTTTGTGGAGAGTACAGGCTATTTTACTGTCGGGCTTGCTCGACTGTAGCGTTCTTTCTTGTTTGTTCTGCCTGCATTTGTAAATCGAAACCCACATTGGGTATGGTGAGCTTTGGCATTCCCTCCAAGGATGATGCCTAGCATTTTCCGTCTGCTGTCTTCCACCAAGGATTTCAGCGGCGGTGGCGGTGGAGTATCTTAATGATCGTGGGGGAGATAGAATGATGTCATTCCTAACTCGATGTCTCCCACTCTGTCTTTGGCGTTGGTGTTTATACTGACTGTTGTTATGTCAGCATCGCTACATTGGCAGAGTAAAATAGCATTAAGTTGTCTTTTTGCCAAGATACATGATCGCGGTGTTCACTTGCATCGACAACTGCCAACCATTCTCCCGGTTACGCTTCTCCTACCTTGTCGATCGATCTTGTATAGAGAAACTGTTCGCTCGTATTCAATTACTTATCCGTAAAATGTTGCGAATTTTTTTACTTTTTATACTCTGTACATAAAATGTACAAGAGTATATTAGGTTTGCGGGAGCTGAAAAATGTAACAGGCAGTCTGTCAGTCTGTCCGCCTGTCCGTATGTACACCTGGATCTCAGAGACTATAAGAGATGGAGACACCAAATTTTGCACAAAGATGCGTTATGTGTGTACGCTGTGCAAGTTTGTTTTATTTTTTTGATTTTTTCCCCCACTTCACCCCTATGGGGGTTTTCTCGATTTTCCATTCGTATAATCGCCTATATCTCGGTGTTGCCGCCGCAGCACAGCCTAATTTGAAGTCATCGTTAATTTGAATTTTTAATACATCACCTATCTATCTGGCAACACCAAAACTTACCATACGATCAAAAAGCTGGAGGTACGGCAGTTGCAGCACAGAGGCCGAAGCCACAAGATTTTTTAAAGCTCTCGATATATCTATTTTCGCGGTCGCGAATAATTTGTATTAATATCCAAAACTATTGAATAAATAATTACGAATAGAAATGAGTGCTATTAGAAGCTTTTAACTTCCTTGACTTATGTCGGCTGCAACATTTATTTAACAAATCTTTATGGCTTTTGCGCGTCGATGAACAGTTAAGTTCCGCGCATTAGTTAAATGTGTAAAGTGAAATTGTGAAATACAAGGCTTGTGTTTAATATTCTGGTAAGGGCGTCGTTAGAACATTAAGTTCCACGCTTGCAAAACTTAAATATAGCACAATATTTCCACAATATCAGTTTGTGCTTCCAGAAGACTAAGACGCCACTGAGCGTCTCTGCAGCTAACTGTAATCTTCTGTATGTAGCACGCTGTATGCGGCACAAACACACACATACAATCAAAATTATACCCGTGCATATAGCGTGTGGTGAAATTACAACAGTGTGGTGCGTATAACGCACATCTAAAGTACAGTCACTAAGCGTGAGTGCAGCGTTGAGATTAGAGTGCTCTGTGTTCTCTGCACGTCTCGAGGAATCTGTCCAATCAAGGCTGTGAGTAGGGGCATAGCTCGCATTAGCAAATAAAATTCCCCCATCGGAACAGAAAACTCGAGTGCCAGAACGCAGATCTTTAATTACCTGCCTCCGCTTGGATATCACCAACCATGATCGGGCACGAGTACGACAACACAAAGTGCGGCTATTGCAAAAAAGAACGTACTAGCACCGGCATATCAAGCTGGGTGCAATGCGATATATGCAAAGCATGGTACCACTTTTCGAGCGCTCGTGTTAATGAGGAAAAAAACGAAACGGGGTGGGCATGCCTCCACTGTGAGCTCAACGACATTCCATGTTCCCGCGATGAAACTGAAAAAACCTTCACAGTTTCTAAAAAAAAAAAAACGAGTCATGGGTAATAGTGGAGCTCCTAATTGACCTGGTAGTATCGGAAGCGGATAACGCAACTACACAGGTTTCTACCGTTGTGAGGCCATCAAAAGGTTTGGCAGTAACACACAACAAAGTCCAGTACTCATCTGGCACAGCCACACTTAAGCAAAATACTACAGCTGATGCTCAACTAGAGAAAATGGGTTTGAATGAGGAAAGATCAACAACCGTAAATAATAATATGAATACGGGCGTATCTAATAACATTCTATTATTACAGATGCTAGACGAGAATCGAAATGCTGAACAAAAATACGATATACTTTCACAACAGAGTGGAGCGAGTTCGGATCTAATGTCCACATATGTGGGTCCTACTAGCGCACAGTTGGCGGCGCGCCAAGTATTACCAGCGGATTTGCCAACCTTCAGCGGCAATCCGGACGAATGGCCCACCTTTATCAGTGCGTTCGAGAACAGCAGCGCT